TGTGTGTGTGTGTGTGTGTGTGTGTGTGTGTGTGTGTGTGTGTGTGTGTGTGTGTGTGTGTCACTGTGCAGAAGGCTAAGCTAAGAAGCTAACCGGAAATCGCGTGTGCTGTAAACAACCCTACTGAGAGGAGAAACGTACTGAGCCAAACGAGACGATTGTAATTGAGAGCTGCTGCTTTGTCAGACAAATTTCCCGACGAGACAGAATGATGTCCACTAACCTGAGACAGATGGACAGGAGCTCTTTAGCTGAAATCAAGTCCCTGCAGTCGGTGTCCTGGCAGCAGAAATCTGCAGCGATGCGGGTCAGCGGCTCATCAAACTAGACGGGACAAAAATAGTTCCGAGCCTCGAGTCAGCTTGCAGCACCTGGGTGATGAAACTCACCAAACTCAGAACGTCTCTGAATTATCTGGTGAATTAATTATGAATTAATTATCTGATGAGCACAACTTTCTCTTGCACTTAGTAAATAAAGCAAAGCCACTTCCTTTATTTCATCCGACATTAAACAGAGACCGACAGAGGAGGGAGGGGGCGGAGAGGTTCTCGACGCACGTCGAGCACTTCAAGAGCAATTTTGACTCGCGTCTGACCTTGAAGCGTTGGACGCAATTTTGATGCTGAAATCGCGTTCGGTGTGAACGCACCATTACTAGCAGACACTGCGCAGAAAATTGATGTCATTCAAAACTCCCCCTTCTGTTTGTTGATTGGCCCAGGTAAAATAAACTACAAGCAGACACTGCGCAGAAAATCGATGTCGTTCAAAACTCCGCCTTCTGTTTGCTGATTGGCCCAGGTAAAATAAACTACAAGCAGACACTGCGCAGAAAATCGATGTCCTGTTCTCTGATTGGTTCGGCTAAAAATCTGCCAGTGAAATCCTTGTCTATGGGAGAAATCCCAGACGGAGCAGTGAAGGGAAACTAGAATTGAGCGGAACTGCGAAGGAAGGCAAGGGCCAGGCTACCAGAAATCATTTTGTTCTAAAAAGTAATTCTGTCTGCCTTGAAATATAAACTTTGTGTTTTATTTGTTTGTTTGTTTGTTTTGGACAGGAATCAGGTGATGATCGGTCATCCTCAAAGTTATACACTTGTCCGTACTGTAGCCGATCATTTAAGGGCCTGAATTATTTCCGTTTTCACGTCAAAGGTCATTTAGGTAAGTCCACACTGAGAACTGAAGACATACTTACTACCCCTGTACACTTGACTTACAAATTCATCTTTATTTTAAAGTTTAATGCACTCAGTCCCCGGTCTTTATTATGACAAATGGAAAGCAGATAATCGGTCAAGAAAACAAGAACTTTGTGATTTGAGAAAGTTCAAAGATTTTAAGCCTTATAAATCAATCAAAAAGAAAAAATAAGTAGGTCCTCTGGATGGGTTCTTCTTTAGTGAAACGTTTCGTCTCTCGTCCAAGAGACTTCTTCAGTCTGATG